TGAAACATAAGGTTTACACCAATAATTCCAATAATTTAGTAGCTTCCAGAACCAACTTTAGCAAGAAAACCTTGAAATAATGGTTTTCTGACTGACCATCAGTCTCTGAAATCATTGTTGAAGAACTTTGCTTCTGGTCTTTGACATCTGCAGGCATTCAGTTGTGCACAGCTCTCTTAAGATCACGATGAGGTCTGGACCTCCTTGGGTCATTGCATCACCTTGATTTTTTCTTTTTCAGTTATTCTGTTGTAGATTTGCACCTGTGCATGACCCAGTTTTGACCTTCAGCTTTTGGACAGATGGCCTCACATCAGACTCTAGAATATACTCTGTGTACTTCAGTATACAGAGACGTTTATAGGTGACCCAGTGACTGCAAGGTGACCACGTCATATGGCTCCAAAACAAGCCCAAATCATCACCCCTCCAAATGATCACTGTGCTTGATAGTTGGCATGAAGGGTTCGCACTGATATGCTTTGTTTGGTTATCATGAGATGTGGTGCCATGCATTATGGCCAAACATCTCCACTTTGATCTCTCAGTCTAAAGGACATTGTTCCTCCAACATGAGAACAGGCCTTTTGGGCTTGATGATGTTTATTACAGACATTTTAATCTTTAATTCGATTAAATATCTGAAAATAGGCTACATTTTTGTTGATTGTTGGCATTGTCATTTTAAGAGATGTCAGTCTTCTTTTCACAGCGTGTTGCAATAAGACAGTTAATTTGTTATATTCCCTCCTATACCTCTGCAGTAGGACAGAGGTATTCGTGGAAAAAGCTTTGAGCTTCAGAAGAGAGTGAAGGGTAATTGGAGGTTAATATCATCCACATCCCCTCGAGTCAACTCAGGAATTTTCTTTAAATAAAAGAAGTACACACATGCACACTTTGTTTGTGCGCCCACCTACACACAAATACCAGCTTGCTGGAAAACCAGTGCACAGCCACACGCGCGGTGAAAAAAAAAAAAAGCCCAACACATTAAGCAGAACGGATTAGGGTCAGGCGAGGATGGGGTGGGTGAGTAAAGTTCAGCAAGAAGCTCAGAAAGACAGGCTGTGTTTGTTTGCAGAGGGTTGATTAAAGGGGTTATATAAGTCCGTCCATGTGGACATCCTAAGAAATGAGGCTGTCAAGGAACCATGTCTGTTATTTATATGATGGCGTAACACTCACATATGGTAACATCTGGATGAACGAGAAGGCATCAGCAAATGGCCAGCAATCCAGTCAGTCACGCACACAGCAGTGGACTGTATGTGCTTTTCATTCTTACTTTGAGCGCTTAGTTTTACAGCTTTAATCGAGCTCACCAGCCACCATCAACCTATATAACTGTACAGTATATAAAATCTCCTATTCACACTCATGCCTGTGTGCAAGTGCAGTTTTATTGCTCAGAGAGCAAAGCACAAAGAGAAGGCAACAGCAGATGGAGCAGGTAGAAGAAACGGGACAAACTGAGCGAGAAACGAAACGCTGGCAGAGATAGAGAAGTAAGGAGTGAGGATAACAACAAAAGGAGGACGAAATCCAACTGTGATTCTCCCCTATGTTGCTGATTAAAATTCTGTGACTTGATCCGATTTAGAGGAAGCAAGGCTATTTATGTGCATTTTTCTTGGAATAATAGATTAAACCTGGAGAGCAGATGAGTGCTCCATACTGTACCTGTCATGCATCTTCAGGGGGATCGGTGAGAAAGGATTTAAGGGTCCACATACTGTATTATTTCACGCAGGGATAAAGTACACAAACCTGGTTATGAACAGAGTTCTATACACACACATACATTTTTTCAGTCTTCTTTAGATTGTATATGTTGTTTTATCCTTACACTACTAGCCTTGTGGCTTAGCTTTTCTTTTTAGTTCAACTTTGTCCTCATTTGCTGTTTTTTATTTACCGTTTTATGTTTAGGGTGATAAGGACTTCACCCCAGCTGCTGCCCAGGTGGCCCACAACAAGCCCCTGCCTGGTGTCCCCAAGCTTCCCCCTGCTCAGCACATCAACCAGCACATCCACCAACCCCGCAAGTGAGCCAGGCACCAATCTACAACCAAGCCACCAAGCTACTAACTCCACCAGCCGGCCTTCCAAATGGAACAGATAGGATGAAGACGGTTCCCCACCAGGCACAGATCTCCTCTAAATAAAAAGAGAAATCATACATTTTGAGAAATTAGTCAGTAACGAGACACCTGAAGTCAGTAACGCTTCAGTGCAAGTCCCACTTTTAATACCACTGCTGCATTGGTGCCGCTCTAGTAGCTTTGCACTCTCCTTTTGAAGGATTATTTTCCACTTGAATAAGTCTTAAGGTGATGTAAACCGGTGAAGTCTTCTTGAATTCTTCTCTTCTCTGTTCTCAAAAAAAAAAAAATCAAGTATAAACAGAGAAACCGATCTCAGATCTGAGTCTGTTTGGGGAACTTTGACAGCATCCAGTTAATCACAGCAACCTATCAATCAGCCTATTTAACCCAACCAAGCCCACGATAGGATCCTTTGATCTTCACAAAAGAACCAATCAACAAGTCAGGAGGTGGATCCCTGTTTATCAACCCTCCAAACCAAAAAAAAACCTCACAGAAAGCAGCTTTTGAGTGTATAATTCAGCAGCTTTGACAAGAGAAAGTACGACTAGCAAATTACATGACAGCAATAACCAATCGTTAGCGCATTAGTGCTTAATTGCATTCCATTTGACCTTGTCAACATATTATATATTAATGGTAGAAATGTCTAAAAGAATAAGCGATGTAATGTTTGATTGGCCTTCATTTGAAATTTTTGAATATATTTAAATATTACAGAAATGTTTGCTGTAGTGATGCCATTACCCAAGAAGCTTTTTGCTTATGCTTGATGTCATCAGTCAAAATGCTGACGAAGCTTCTGAGCCACAGTCGAACCTGTTGAGCTTTTATCACCGTTTCCTCCCAGTGTGACCGTTCTTACCTTTATTTAACAGAAAGGAGCCCCTCACAGTTGTTATCAGCCTCAGCTGTATCGGTATTTATCGTTTCCCACAAACGTAACCTGTTCACAGTAAAACTCTACCATCGGTGCCTCGTCGCTGAGATTTCGAAGATGCGCAGGCTCATCGGTCTCATGTTTATTTGTTGCAGAATGAAAGTGCAGCGAAATATGTAATGAAACTTAAAGAGTAGCACCGGCTGCGGGATGCTCTGTGACTGCATTAACATTAGCCCAGATATCACAAGGGACTTAATTACAAGGGGAACAAAGCATTACAGAGAAGCAGTCGAGCAAAGAGCGAGGCATTAAACTGTCAGATGAAGGTGAAAATGGGAACATTAAAGGAGAACAGCACAGGTGTAACAAAAAAGAGCAGTTTCTACATTCCATACAAAAAGCGTCGAAGCAAAGACATTTCAACCACGCGACTGTTTATCGGCGTACGACGAAGATGCAGCGCGTTTGTCGTTACATGGCTCAACGCATGTCAGAAATGTGTACATCCTCCCGAAACTCCAGATTGGGTTTCCCGAGAGTGATATGCTTTAATACACACAGACACACACAAACACACAACACCCTTTTCCTTAAAACCCACTTGCGCTCTAGTGTTATTTGTTGCAACACTAATGTTCAGGTTTCCAGGAAAGAAACAAAGAAAATGATGTTGCCAAGAAGAAGAAGTGATTTCCTCTGTTAATTTAATTCAATTTCAATTTTTTTTTTCTTCTCAGTATTTTTTCTTGAATTGTTCAAATTGTAAAAAGTAATTGAGTGGACTTAGGCATTAGGTATGGTTGTCATAGTAAATAAAGATATAGACTATCTTGAAAAACAACTTTTCAGTTTGTCTTTATTTAAACATATTTGAGAATGATGGGGACGGGGAAAAATAAACCTTTGTGGTTCTTTGTGGGAAATGATCTAATATTTTGCACTCTGAAAAAGTTCAGACTAGTCCCACTTGATGGATTGTGTGGATTGCGTGCTGTACCCCACCTAGAGCATTTGGGCGTCCCATGGTGAATTAGCACCATGCACTGAGGGATTAGGGCTCAGGTGGTGTTTTGAAATGAGACCGAAGCATCTCTCCAAGAGCTATCTGCTGTTTTCCCTTCATCACACAAGCACACACACACACTGTGCACCAGGTGTTAGTGCATGTAATCCATTTTTACACAAGCATCTGCAATCAGGTGTTCTGTCAGCTTATGTTAGCCCAATAAACCAGCCAGTGCAGGCTTACTTGGTACGAGTCTCAGTCAGCAGGCTGAAACTCCCCATTAAAGCAGACACAGTCTCCCCCACTCTCCTTGGTTGTATATAGTTCTCTCGGTGTGGCAGGCCTCTCATTCCCTGCCATGCCTTATTAGACTGACTGGGAGAACAGAACGTAAGTGAGACACTGCTCAAAATGTATTATAGTACCAGGCTCTGCATTTTTTGTCTGTGGGAGGATAAAACTGAGATGGTAATTTATTCTTAAATACTTGTTTTTGCCAGGATAAAAATGTTGATTGCTAGTCTATCCAGTGAACAATAGGTCAACGGTTAGAGCTAAAGATTGGTGTGAGAGATATACTGTGAGAGAAAAGTCTCGATTTTAAGCAAAATTGGTTTTCCTGTATCACCTTTTCTGATGTAGTGGAGAGTCTGACATACTTTCTTAACTCTTTACCCTGTTGAAAGGTCCCCTGAAGAGCAGTTTCTGTATATTTCAGGCATGCTTATAGAACAACATGTCTGGGTTTGCATCAGAGAATAGACGGGTTAGTCTTTGCCTATGCAGCTGCTGTTGGAAAAACATGGAAACTATTCTAGTAGTCATCGAACCACATCTCTATGGTTCGATGGAGGTGGTCAAATGCCATTTTTAAGGAGAAAGAGTTGAGCCGTTCACTCGTTAATTGCTTCAGGTCGGTTCCTGTCGCTGCCCAGTAAGAAGCCACTGGCCTCCCTGTTAGGAGAGATATCCAAAATGACTTCTTGTAGTTGCGTATCAGCAGGTAAAATAGGTCACCTGTCTTGTCTGACTCCTTCAGCAGGCTACAAGGTGGTTGTTAAGTCGCTGTTTGCCCTCAGCACCAACTCATTCTCATTTGGAATCACTATATCAGTCCAAAGTATACACTACCAACTGCTGGCCATGTGGCTCTCAGGAATATTAAAGGAGACTTGAGCAGGATGAGGCCGGTCATTACTGCGACGGAGCCGCCTCAAAAACCTTGCTTTAGTGCGATGGTTTACTCAGACCACAGGTGGCACAGAGAGCAAAAGATATTTATCAGCCAGGTCAGAACGTTTTTTGGACTTTGTGCACGGTCACTGGTAATGATAAGGCAGAATGGTTGAAATCGCCAAATTACGGTGACATTTTGGCTCCACTTTAAGAAAAAAACAAACTGCAAGCTCTCCTCTGTCCCATTTCCTTTCCATTCTAAGCCTTGTGGGACACCATGAATCCTACTGTACATCAGTGGGATTTTCTGTTAAACCAACCAAGTATTGCTGCTGGAAATGTCTGACAGAAAGTGTAGCTTAGTGCTTTGTGTCAAGTTTGGTCTTATCAAAACTCCTGCGGAAAAATGGCTGTCTTTTACGAAAGAAAGTTGCTCCCTGTAAAGTTTTTCTTACTTTTAAGAGTGAGGCCGCTTTAGGATCTCACATTGTCAATAGTTCTGATGCCGATTGGATTGTGAGACTTTATCATTTATTAATCGTTTTCAGCTTTTCAGAATGCCGTTCTTTGAGAAGACCTTACTTTACCCCTGACTGCATCACGCTATCATATCAGAATACTTTGGGTTTTTTCAAAGAAATGACTATATTCCTCTAACTCTACCAGTTGTGTCACTGATTATATGTGGTTCTTGCTAAATTTGAAAGAATTGTGAATATAATGATAATATTTTTGAACTTTTGTTTATAATAAGGCCTCAGATCTGAATAAAATTTCAAACTTGTTCACAATTCATGTCATTAACATGTTTTATTGCATACCATGTTTTTCTTTCTTCTTTATTTTTTGTGGTATTATTTGGCAGAAGTCACTCATATCGCTTGCAGTGGGCAAAGCATACAAGCACACATTCAAAATAAAAGCGCTGGTATCAATTTTAAGGAGGATGCCCACAGCAGGACCACTTCCTGAGATTTAATAAAGACAAAAAATAAATCCAACCAGCTCAAATGTTTGTATACCTTTTAGAAAGGGTCTTTTTTTAGTCTTTTCAACTTAAAAGCCTCACATGTTATACTAGAACCAACCAGCAGAGGGCCCCTGCTGAGGATTCCCCATCAATTTCACAGGATTGGAAGAAGCTCTCATTCAGTGCCAACGCGGAATCAGGTCACCCTGTCTCAATCCCAGCCTGTAGCATCCCAGCATGACATAATAACTGTCACACTACCAGTGGACGGTGCGCTACTTATTTTGACACTTCTAAAATTTCTGTGAGAGATTTGGGTCGTGGGGTAGGGGTGGTGCTGACCAAGCCTGTGGCTCTTCATAATCCCAGGTTACAATCTTAGCCAACAGCTGTTTGAACTACAACGATGACCTAAATATGATCTGATTCATTCAGGGCTAATAGGTTTTGTCCGTTCCCTGCACCACACACTCACACGGAGCTTTCTGTTTGTGTGAAAATGGGATTTGTGAACAAGCTGTAACGGCACAGAGACATAAGCCTGTAATGACTCTAAAAACTGCATTCTGTTATTCCACAGAAACCTTTAAAAAAGTTGACTGACTGACAAAAGACAAACACAAAAGTCTAATGTAAATGAATTTGGCTTTTATTCATGGCAAGTTAACCTCGGTTGACTCGTGACAAACTGCAAACGGCTCTGCCAGCAAAAATCCATTTTCATATAAAACATGTTAATGTTAAATATGCTAATCCTGGAGCCACTTAGAGTTTCTGAAGTGTAGAGTTCAAGTAAATGTGCAGCTCGCTCCTCTTTTGTCATGTTCAAATTATTTCCTCTGGGCAGTATCTAAGCAGATTGCCACTCTGAAGTCAATGAAGTTTATTTGAAGAAACGATTTGGCTGTGCAGTGCCCTTGTAACCCCTTAGCAACTCATCACCATGTATATTAGACACACGCTCTTGGATAGCACTTAAGCCCCAATCGCCATGAGGAGTTAGGAGCGTGAAATTGTGCTCTTGAAATTCCAGACAATGTTATATCACTGCGCTCCCCGTGGCTCTGTGGGTTTAAATCACGGTTATTTTTCACCCCATTATTTTTCACTGTTTTAATGTCATAGCAGGAAACTGACCTCTCTGCTCTATAATGGGTTGGCTGTTTTTATGATCAGAGTGGCCACTTGTTACACGTCATCACTTCAGGCTCTCCTTTGTATGTCAAAACTTGCATGTAGTGTTTTGTTGTTT